CATCATCACCTGTAACTCCAGTTCCAGGGAATCCCATACCCTCTTCTGAAACCACCAGGCACACACATGGTGAACAGACATACACACAGGCAAAACAAACACACAAAATAAAAATTGTAAAAAATGAAAAGGACATAGTTTAATTTTTTCTTTATGACTATTACTTGTATGCACACATACATAAATACAACGTCATGTGTTACTCATGTGTATATGTTTTAGAGATGACAACTTGGCATTGGATAACCAATAGGGGGCACGTCCATGGGTAAAGTGATGAGGGAGGTCCTTCTGTGTATATGTTTGTCTTATTGGTTGATAGCTTCCCTGTTGGCCAATAGGGAAGCAAGTTAGGCGGGACTAGGAGTCAAGGAGGATGCTTGTGATCCCCAGAAGAATGGGCGCATGCCGCCAGAGTCCTCAATAAGTTTATAAAATATATAGATTAATGATTATGGTTGATAATTAAGACAGAGAGCAAGTAAGAAATCCTAGTCATTGGCCAGCAGCATTGTACCTAATAAAAGTCTCTGTGTGTTATTTTGGGCACCCACGTGGTGGTGGGACTCGGGCGGCTTGGCGGAAAGAATTATCGTTACAGGGAAGATTGATTCTCTTTTAGTAGCAGCCACTAGTTGCGTACATCTTTACACTTAGGGGTGGGAACTTGTGATATTTTTGAGGGGAAAATTTTAAAACCTCAGTTGAATGTCTCTCATAGTCTATGCATTCTGTGGCTTGCAGGTGGTAAGCAATAAAAATTTCTTGGAGACCTAATTTTAAATAAAGCATGAAGAAAACAGACCCCCCCTCCTCTGGTTGGTTGCCCATGCTCCAGTGGATGGTCCTATGCCTATGCAAATTATTGCAGCATCAATTAGACAGAGTGGGTTAATGAAAAGGAGGCATGAAGTTGTGAGAGGGTTGTGGTTGGGGAGAGGGGAGGATGGTCTGGAAGGAGGTGAAGGGGAGAATAAGAGACAAATGTGACCAATGTAAGCTGTACATATGGAGTTCAAAGAATACATTAAAATAATTTCAAAGGCATAAATAAGTAATCGCAAAGCAATGACTTGTGAGGCCAAAGAAGAGAAATTTATTAAATAAATAAGCATGTTCAAAGACCTTATACCCAAGAAGGAAAGAAGTTCAAAGATTGCTACAAAGGTTTGCACAAGTCTTAACGGAAGGCTCCGGGCCTCCATTCACGAGCTGGTTGATTTAGGGCATTGGTGGCTCAGGGCAGAAAGTTAGAGAGAGAAACAGGAACATGACTATTTTTCAAAGGTGGTTGCTTGCCACAGGTGCTCAGCTCACTGCTCAGCAGCAAGTGTTGCAGGGGGAGGTCCTGCAGGTGGTACGGCAGGGAGCAGGCTGGCAGCAGGGGGGCCTGCAGCAGGGAGCCTGCACAGAGATGGGCTGGCAGCAGGTGGAGGCCCAGCAGCAGGGTCTGCAGACCACAGCTGTGCAGGAGGTGGGGCAGCAGGTGATGGGGCGACAGCAGCCCTGCTGCAGGCTGCAGGGGTCACAGCAGATGGGGCGGCGGCAGGGCTCACAGATGGGCCTGGTGCAGTGGGGCACACAGGTCACAGGGCGGCACACTGTGGTCTGGCAGGACACTGGGCGGCAGCAGCAGGGGTCTCGGCAGCAGCAGGGCTGGCAGCAGCCTCCACAGCTCTGGGAGGAGAAGGATCCACAGCAGGAGCCGTTCATGGTGTTGTCTGGGTTAGAGTGGGGCTGAGGAGTAGAGAGCAGTTGGGTGTTTTCAGGTGTGATGTCTCCCCTGGGTCGGGTCCCTTTATATACCTGGCTGAGAGCTGATGACCCCTCTTGTTTATCTTTTGACTAATTAAGTCAACTTCTGTTTGACTAATGGTTGAGTCATGTTCTCATTAAATGATTCTTATTACATCTCTAAATATTAACATCTTACACTCACTGTTCATTGTGAAAACTTGAAAATCACAGCCAGGAGATGATGGAGTGGCATTTGACAGAAAATTTTTTGCGTTTATGGAGTAGAGTGTGATGTTGTGGTACACTCACCCACCATGCATCAACCAATTCAGGAGGCAAGTCGCCATCATCATCTCAGACATTTATCATACCATTCTGATGAAGGCATTCCTAATTCTGTCTTCTAGTTTTGGTTACACAATATTGTTAACTAATGTCACCCTTTGTGTAATGGGACACCAGGATTTTCTTGGATTTTTGGCTTTCCCCGTGGACCAATCTCCCCCGGCTCCTTCCATCTCTTGGGCTCAGGCTCATTTCAACCAATAACATTAAGATAAGCCTGCAGCAAGTGGCCACAGAAGAACTCAGTTTTCAATATTATTGAGTATAGTGAGGTATGTAGATCGTTAACTGGATTCTAAGCCAGAAACACTTGTCTATAAATGGAACAGGCATTAGGCATGTTGCTTTAAGGGATTCATTAGGAATACATTTACTTACCATTAGGTATAAGATACTATAAATCCTTTTGCTAGAACAGGAGCTCACATACAGAAAAATCAAAAGTTATTTTAGATGTGTTTGATTTTATATTCTACACAAAAGTGTTTTGCCCATATGCATATGTATGTACCATGTACATGCCTCATCCTCTCAGAGGTCAGAAGAGGGCATTGGGTGCCCTGGAACTAGAGCTACAGATAGCTGTATGTCACCACATGGGTGCTGGGAATCAAACCTTTGTTTCTTCTGCTCATTGAAAGTGCTCTTAAATATTAAACTATCACTGCAGTCCTCCAAAGTTTATTTTAGTAAATATTGTTATTGTATTGTATTTGTATATTATAAACATAGTAAAAGAAAGCACCTAAGGGCACTGTGAAGCTTTTGTTTCTCCAGTTCCAGATGTGTTCAACTCTGATTCTTTTGGTCACAGGGAACTAATTTTTATCTCTAAATTAGATTTTGTTTGTTTGAGTCAAGAACTCATTATGTAGCCCATGAATCTGGCCTTGAACTCATGATCCTCCTGCCCCAGCTGCCCGAGTGTTGGAATTACAGATGTATACCATCATGCCTAACTAGAAATGTGGCTTTTGTATGTTTGTGTTGGTCTATGTATGAGTACATGTTCACATGTGTGTCTGTGTATGCAGGTTCACATGTGGAAGTCAAATGTCCATGCTCACATTTTCCTTTTGTGATTTATCTTACTTTTTGAGGCACGATCTCTTTTTTAAAATTATTTTTTATTAGTTCAAATTAAAAACAAGCCTGCTTTACATGTCAATCCCTGCTCCCTCTCCCTTTCCTCCTCCCCCACCCCCACCAACCCCCTACCCTTCCCCCATCTGCTCCTCAGAGAGGCTAACGCCCTCCATGGGGGATTCCCAAAGTCTGTCATATCATCCTGGGCAGGGCCTAGGCTCTCCCCTATGTGTCCAGGCTGAGAGAGCATCCCTCCACGTGGGATGGGCTCCCAAAGTCCTTTCTTACTCTAGGGATAAATACTGATACTACCAGAGGCCCCATAGAGTGCCGATTCCTCCTCACTGACATCCACGTTCAGGGGTCTGGATCAGTCCCATTCTGGCCTCCCAGACATCAGTCTGGGGTCCATGCCCCCCCCCTTGTTCAGGTCAGCTGTTTTTGTTGGTTTCACCAGCCTGGTCTTGATCTCTTTGCTCGTCACTCCTCCCTCTCTGCAACTGGGTTCCAGAGTTCAGTTCAGTGTATAGCTGTGGGTGTCTGCCTCTGTTTCCATCATCCACTGGATAAAGGCTCTAGGATGGCTTATAAGGTAGTCATCAGTCTCATTATAGGGGAAGGGCATTTAAGGTAGCCTCTCCACTATTGCTTAGATTGCCAGTTGGTGTCATCCTTGTAGATCTCTGGAAATCTCCCCAGTGCCGGATCTCTAGTACTTGGATGGGAGACATGATCTCTTACCTGAACCTGAGTTTCACTAATTCAGCCAAATTGTCAGGCCAACAACCTCCAGGGGTCCACCTGTCTCCACTTCCCTACAAGCTGGGGTACAAGTGCACAGTTTTTACATCGGTGCTGGAGGTCCAAATGCAGATGGTAATGCTTGTGTGGCAGGCATTTTACTCATGGAGTCATCTTCCTTGATCAGACGCCGTGAAGAGATTCCCCCTCCCCTTTTCTTGATATCCTATGACTATCATCAAGTGAAATGATAGATGTTTCCTTACTCTAGACTGCAAAGGTATTGTCCAACACATCTTTCAGGGGAGGCACACAGGAAGGCCACCCCACACTTGTAATTCTCTAGTTCTGCTCAAAACACACCAGGCGGGCTTATTCAGGAAGGGCCTCCCTACTTCTTACAACTTCCCAGGCAGTGACCTCCCCTGCCCCCACCACCTCCACACACAAGTGTGCCTGGGGCTCCAGGATCTAAAGTCACCTCAGTGGTAATTAAAACCTAGTTTTACTACTTTTAAAGGAACTGTTGTGCTGTTGGTAGCAAGTTTGCCTAGTGCTTACAAAGCCCTGGGTTTGAGCCCTAGTGCCGCATATACTCGCCATAGTGGCACACAGTTATATCCCAGTGCATGGGGAGTGGAGACAAGAGCATCTGGAGTACAAAAGTAATCTTTGGCTGCATAGTCAGCATGGGCTGCATGAGACACTACCTCAATAGGAGAAAATAAGCAGGCTACCTGAATACATTGTCAACCGTCCTCAATTTCAGGTAGAGGATGTATGGTTCCTGTTCCCATTATCCATGACACAGGGCTGTGAGGGCTCAACTGCTTGCTCTGGCATTGGCAGCAAGACAGATGCTGTTTTCTGAATCCACTTATCCTGTAACACTCAACACTTACTGGCTTTGTGTCCTTGGGTCATATAATTGTGCATATCTGGATTGTCATGGGGATTAAATGAGCTCATACCTGTCCAGGAATTAAGAGCAGAGTCAGACACTCAGTGTCTTATTTTTGTTAGATGAATGAATGCATTTTAGCTGGCTTTGCTGGCTGGTAATTCCATTACTCAGGTTGCTAAAGTATGAGCATTTCTAGTTAGAGGAGAGTCTGAACTGTGTAATGAGACCCTATCTAAAACAACATATTTTAAAAGCTTATGTTTTTTTTTGGGGGGGGGGAAGGGAGATGGCTCAATGGTTAAAAGTGTTTTGTTTTATAAACGTAAGGACCCCAGTTAAATTACCAGAATTCATGTTTGTTTGTGTTTTTAAAGGTGTGGTGGCATGTGATCATAATCCTATGTGGGGAAGAGACAGGCAGATCCCCTGGGCTACCTGGCCAGCCAGCCTACCTTAACCAGTGGTGGGTGGCGCCTAAGAGGTGACACTCAAGGTTGATCTCTGGTCTGCACATGCATGGGCACACATGTGCATGTGCACACACATGTCCATGCCCCACACGAACATGCACACACACACACACACACACACACACACACACACACACACACAGGTCATATTACTTTGGTCTATAACGGACTTGAAAATTTGAACTTAGAACAAAGTTAGATGTTTGATACAGGCCAGTTCTCTGCTCAGCTGCCACAGGATACAGATGAAATACAATAAATATTCCGTGATGGGTTTTCTTAATATCAAAAAGCAAATTTAAAGTACCTGTAAGGAAGACTTAGCACTCTTTCCGGGTCTTTGTTCATGGGAGTCAGACTACTACTGAGTGAACAGGACACATGTGTGAGAACTGTGGATGGAGTGTGTTACTGCAGACCCCCAGTCCAGCAACAGGCTGGGGTCCTTGGACAAAGCCTTTAAAAAACGTTGTAAAGAATTTAGAAAGCTTCCTACTGGCGGTGAGCAATATTGTGTGTGTGTGTGTGTGTGTGTGTGTGTGTGTGTGTGTGTGTGTGTGTGTAGCAAATCATAGGACCCCATTTAACACTACCGTTCAGCATCAGCATTGTGAAAACATTTTGTGTTGGAAATATTTCCCTGAGTTCTCAAATTCCTGGTTGCTCATACAAATGGATACGAACAATTGTACATATAGCATGAATAGCTAACAACTTCAAATTCTTAATTTGAAACATATTAATGCAGATTGTTTATACAATTGAGCTGATCTTCAACTGTTAAAAGACAAATTCAAGGAGGGGAGGGAGAGGGAACTGGGATTGACATGTAAAACAAACTTGTTTCTGATTTAAATAAAAAAATAAAAAAGACAAATTCAGTGTTTTATAATTTGGTTTTATTTTTAAAATATCTAGTGTTTCACATTCCTGTCAAACAAGGGACTTCTTTAACAGTACAAAACTGTTTAAGTTCAATTAGACTTTGATTAATAGGTAAGTTTTGAAATCAGAACATATTGAAAAAGGAACAAGTGTTTTTTCCAAAATAGTAATAGTTGCTCAAAAACTTATTTTTTTTACTTTGTTTTTTGGTTAGCAGACAAAGAAATGTGTCTCATTTTGACATGTTCATTTATATCACTATATTTTATTTATTATACACTTATTTGCTTTAACTACTATCTTCCCACCCAATTTAAATAGTTCCCTCTCCTTTTCATAACATATAAATTCTATTCTCTATTCTCCTTTACCCCAATAATAAATTTTATATACTGTATTTCATTCATAGTAAAAACATGTGCTTACTTAAAAATTATATAATTAAGCAAACCTGGACAAGAAACAGAGTATTAGTATCAACTATGAGTAGTAGATTTTGTATAATATTACAGTTTAGGCATAAACAAATATAGTTTATTTCAGAA